TAGCAGCACTTAAAAAAAATGCCACCAACAGGAGAAAAAAAACAAACTCACTGCCATTGAGTCAATCCCAACTCCCTCTTGGTTTTCCGAGGCAGTATCTCTACAGAAGTAGATTGCCCAATCGTCCTTCTGAGGAGTGGCTGGTGGGTTAGAACCACCAGCCTTCTGGTTAGCAGTCAAATGCCTTAGGCACTATGGCACCAGAGATCCCTGACAGAAGAATAGATAAATAAATGGTAGTGGATCTACACAATGGAATATATACAGCAATGAGAATGAACAAATTACAATCACATGATAATATGAATGTATCTTACAAACTTTACAACTACTTGTAAATTTAGACACCTTTCTTAAGCAAATATCTTGTTAAAGAGGAAATCAGAACTGCAGTAATTTTTGGCAACAAGCGTACAATAATCAGTTAATATACCTGATATGTAAAGAGTTTTTCCAATCAATATGTTGTTGTTGAAGAAAAGTCAGGGGGATGACAGAGCGAGCTGTGGCAGGGATCCAGGTAAGGGGAGGGACACAGGCCCCACACCCAAGAGTCAGGAAAGCAGGGGCAAGGAAAGAAAAGCCAGGGGGATGACAGAGCGAACAGCAAGCAGCAGGGATCCAGGTAAGGGGAGTGCGGAGAGGTTTTGAACAGCTAAGGGAGACAAATTTGTCTGTCAGTTTGTCGTGCCACTTAGGTCAGAAGACTCTCAAAATACAACTGGGAAAGAGCTGCAACACCAGAGTAGAACCAAACTTACTGATATGGATAAAGTAAAGCTTTTGAGACCTCCATTTGCTGACATGGCACGACTCAAATTGAGGAGAAGCAGCTGCAAACATCCATTAATAATAGGGACATGGAATGTATGAAGCATTAATGTAGGAAAATTGGAAGTTGTCAAAAATGAAATGGAATGCATAAAGATTGATATCCTAGGCATTACTGAGCTGAAATGGACTGGTTTGGGCCATTTTGAATCAGACAACAGTATGATCTACTATGCCAGGAATGACAATTTGAAGAGGAATGGCATGTGTTCTGGTTACCTAGTGCAGCTCTGACAAGAATATACCACAAATGGGATGGCCTTAACAAATAGGAGTTTATATTTACAATTTGGAGGCTTTAAGTCCAAGTTCAAGTGCCAGGCTCTAGAGGCTGGGTGAAAGCCCCTCAACCTTGGAGTTCAGCTCTGCCTCCTGCTCCCAGCCCACTGGAGCTAGAGGTGTTTCTTCACTCAGACAGCTGCTGGCTGCTGAGGCTGAGAAGCCCCAAGGTTGATAAGTAAAAAGGCACAGTACCGATGTTACCAAACCACACA